AGCCATCAGGGAAATTCAAATCAAAACCACATTGAGATACCACCTTACACCATTTAGAATGGCAAAAAGTGACAAGGCAAGAAATAAATAAAATCTTTTTTAAAAAAATAATAATCTTTAAAATAAATAAATAACCCTATGAAGATCAAAAGGAAGGCTGCCAATGAGAAAGAAGCACAACCCCCAAAATCCCTGAATGGACTACAAATCCTGTAATCCCCAAATGAAGGACACTGTTGTCCTTCAGGGTCAGAGACAAGGATTTTTCAGTTCCGTTTTTCTGAGTTGTTGTATGTGTATCAAAAACACAGTACTTGATAATGCTTCTACAATTTGTAAAATGCCGAATAACTTACGTATTTCACATCGCTTAATTCAGCTTTCCTTTCCTACCAGAGCTTCACCCAGAGTCTGAAGAGGAGAATATCATTGAAGAATATATTTTATTCCTGTGGTGTAACCTATGAAATAGTATCCAATATACCAAAGGTAAATATACATTACTTTTTAAAAATATCGAAATAGAAGTGTTAGAGAATGTGTTGATTCTTAGAACTTCTAAATCATTTTCTCACCACAATTTGGATAAAAATATTGTTCACATGAAAGTATTGTAATTAAAAAAAAAAGAAAGAAAGAAAGAAAGTGAATTATCTTCTTGTCCCTTCAGGCAACAGAGGAGATTGAGGACCGGGAAACACTGGCTCTCATGGCAGCAAGGAGTGAAAATGAAGGCACTTCAGATGGGGAGACCTACATAGAGAAATACACGCGTGGCGTGCTGCAGGTGGAGAACATTCTGAGCCTTGAACGGCTCCGGCAGGCAAGTAGAAACAGCGTCCGGACCAGAGGGCGAGAGCACTAGCCTCCCCACCACCAAGTGGACAAGGACGAATTTATTTACCAAACACCTTCCCTCTGCATCTATCAGAGAAGGAAAACTTGAGTAGCAATCTCTTCAGACAAAGTAGCAAAAATGAAAATAATGTCTGCATTCTATTCAGTACCTTCTACTTAAGCACTCTGCCCAAGTAATTTAGATAACATTCTTTCATTTAATCTTCAAGATGGCCCTGCTAGGGAGATAGACACTGTCAGAATCCCCTTTTCTAAGTGAGAGAATTGAGGCCTGCGGAAGTTAGCTAGCCTGCCCAAGGCTACACCGCTAAGTTGGTACAAAGTTGGTTGTGAACCAGGAAGGCTTGACTCCAGAGTCCATGTGCTTAGCCACATGCTGTTACTATTTCCCTAATTTTGGGGGGTCTGGGTTAACTTCTGCAACAGTAGCTTAGAAGCAGCAGTTGGAAGTTCATGGAAAGTGCATTGTGAGCAACAAGAGGACTAAGATTGGCATCTGTCAGAAAAATCTGCCTTTAGTGGAAATCCCCCCGAAATTGCTGCGTGAATAAAACACAAACAGCATAAAAGTTGATGGTCGTTTTGCAAATGAGATCTATTGTTAGGGGTATTTCTTCTCTGTTTTCTCTGTCTACCTCTGTAAAAAATCTACCACATAAATGTCTTTAGTTCAGGGGCGCCTGGGTGGCTCAGTCGTTAAGCGTCTGCCTTCGGCTCAGGTCATGATCCCAGGGTCCTGGGATCGAGCCCCACATCGGGCTCCCTGCTCCGCGGGAAGCCTGCTTCTCCCTCTCCCACTCCCCCTGCTTGTGTTCCTGCTGTCACTATCTCTCTGTCAAATAAATAAATTTAAAAAAAAAAAATGTCTTTAGTTCAGCAGTTGTCCTGGTTTTGTGTATGGAAAGCATTTTTGGTAGATTAAGGAAAGAAAAATTAGTGAGGACCATAAGAGTCCAGCTTTTGTAACTATAGGAGGGAGTGTGGCATTAAAATGACGTGTCTTTCTATATTTTCTAAACCTTCCACAACAAACATATTATTTGTCATCAGAGGGAGAAAAACAAATGTTACCTTGACCTTTGCAGGCGGTCACGGTCAAAGAAGCTCTGTCCACCAAAGCTCGGCACCTGAGGAGGAGTCTCAGCACACCGAACGTTCATAATGTGAGCACCCCCTGTGGAGGGTCTGTTGCTTCTGTGACATGTCTCAGGGTTTGAGGGGGGCACATGGGTCCTGGCGTGGGCATCCTGGACAGCCAAGCCTCTCCTCTCTCCCAGGGAAACACACCAGAGAGTGCAGTTACGATCCCATGCCCGCGCCTTTAGTGGAATCTTCCGGATTTCTCTTCAGAAAGTTATGTCCTTGAAAGACGTTTCTTGAGACCTAAATGGAACATAGTTGGTTTAAGGGTGGCAGAGTTCGGTATAGCACTTGGCTGGGTGCTGCTCTGTCCTTGTCGCCCTGGTGGATTTTCCTGTGCTGCCCGTCAGTGTGATAGAGCGCTGGGTACCTCCGTGTCCACGCTTCCCTGGTCCGTGGTCTCTCCATTGACCATTTGATTCTCATTCTTAACCAGTTCATGTAGAAAATCCAATTGACAGGAACTGCTTAATGGAGGGGACACGGTCCCGGGACAAACTAGTGCACGGACAACTTCAGAGCAATCTCTTCTCCAGAAGCAGCAGAATAAAAGATCCTCCCAAGGAAGGGCACAGTATCATTACCTTGTTCCTCTCCAGAATTGCCAGGAAATGATTAAAAACATGGTGAACGTATATAAACGTTGTCTCAGAGCAGGCCACAGAGCCAGTCCCAGCACATCCCTATAGTGGTGTACATACAAGTTACTTCTGACCACAGTGCGGTTATTTAGAAACTGATAATAAGAGACTCATACAGTGTAAACTGAAAAATAGAAACTGGTACACACATCAGTGCTTGTGGGATGCAGGTGAAGTACTTAGAGGGAAACTAGGCTCTGAGTTCCCTATTATTCCATTTCTACTGCCGAATGCTAGACAGTAGAGAAAAATGAAAGAACAAGAGCCACTCTTAGGGATGTGTGGATCTTGTATTAAAAAGAAGAGTAAAAAACATGGAGGGAAACATCTGTGCTAAAAGGTAAAGACAGATCACCTAAAGGAGTATTCTGTCCCCACTCCTAGCCCCCTAGAAAATGAACCTACATCTGATCAAGACTCTGAATCTGACTGCTGATATTTACGGGGGACAGAAGAGAATGTTAAGTGACACCTAAGGAACTCCATTAGCAAAGGGAAACTTTATAGGAACAAATGACATAGAAAAAGGAAAACGTGTGAACTATTGTGATCCTGATTCAGAATTAACTGACAATGTGTCTGAGACATTTGAACACTGGGGGATATCGGTTACTACCTAGGAATCATTTAATTTTTTACAATGTGATAATGATATTCTAGTTTTGTTTTTGTTTTAAGATTTTATTTTTTTAAGTAATCTCTACATCCAACATGGGGCTTGAACTCATGACTCAAGAGTCGCACGCTCCTCCAACTGAGCCAGGCAGGACCCCTGTGGTTATGGTTTTTTTAAAGAGAGGAGGAGTAATGTATTTTTTAGAGATTCACAGAGAAGTATTTATGGACAAAAGATTTTTAAATCAAAAAAACAAAATCAGAATAAAAAAATTTTAAAGGTAATAATACTAGAGCAGAATTATAATAAATTCAAAGAAGGTGTATGAAGATTAGAACAGAGATGTATGAAATGGAAAACCAACAATAGAATCAGCAAAGCTGAAAAGTGGGCTTTTTGAAAAGACTGGTCAAATTGACTGACTTCTAGTTAAGATTAATTGGGGAAGGAGAGAAAATATTGGGATATTAATTCCAATATTATTGACAATAAAAAGGGACGTATCACGACAGATTTCGACAGTGTAAGAGCAAACTATGAATAATGTTATAGCAGTAAATGTAAAACAAGCTTCAACAAAATGGAATTTTCTTACAAAAACCAAATCTGAATACAGCTATCACCATAAATAAAGCGTAAACTCACAGAAAGAGAGACTGTGCTCATTGATGGGAACACACAGTATCCAAAAAATTGGCACATCTCCTTAAACTAATCTATAAATTCCCAGCATAATTTCTTACAGGATTTCATAAGCTAACCCCAGAATTGCTATGGAAGAGCAGAGTTGAAGGTGCATATGCGTTATCTACAGCCCAGAGATTCCAAGCCTTCACATACCCTTTAGAGCTCCTCATAGAAACGTAGGAGGAAGCTCCTGGCTGGCTGACTCAATCAGAGCATGCGATCCTCAGTCTTGGGGTGGTGAGTTCAAGCCCCTTGTTGGATGTAGAGATTACTTAAATTAATAAATAAATAAACTTAGAATAAAAAAGAAACATAGGATGGATTTAGAACTAAATAATGTTGAAATGGTATACATGTCAATCATTGTGGGATACAGCTAGAGTGATACTTAGGGACAATAATAATAGTTTATTTTATCAGAGTTTGTAATAGAGAAAAATTAGAAGCAGCTTAGATACCTATCTAGAATAGAACAAATAAATTCTGAAACTAATGAAAAAGACCATGTATGGTGAGATACCACTTATTTTAATGATAAAAATATGCAAAATATATATTACATGTGCATATACATTATATTTATATATAATATGTGCATATATTTTTATATATAAATCAATTTTATGAATATAAGAACTATACAAAGCCTGTATGGAAATAATCAACCCCAAATTTAGTGTGGTTGTTATTCCTGAGGATTGTAGAAAGAAGAGGGAGTTGAGACTATTCATACAGGCTTCAACTGTAAATGTGACATTACATTTCTATATTTCTGTGTAATTTATGTTAAATACATAAACCACATTGATGAAACCATGGCTCTCTTACAGGTCTCCTCCAGTCGACCAGACCTTTCTGGCTTTGATGAAGATGATAAGGTGTGCACCTGTGGTGTGGGCATGGCTAGGTTACTAGCAGAGTCGAAGTCTGAAAAGTTAGGGTATCTTGGTGTTTTTAAAATCTCAGGACTTCCCATCTTAATCTTATGCTGGTCATTGTCTCCACGCGTCCATTTCCAGGTTCAAATACTTGATGTGAAATTGCTATGCACTCAGTGTTAACATTGTACCTAGCATATTTTCCATACCAGCATAGTACGACACCAAATTGAACATTTGTGTGTTTATGGGTCTCACTCAGTGATTTAAGAAAGTATTATATCAACTGAGGTTTGCTGGAGGGGAGGGGGATAGGGGGATGGGGTAACTGAGTGATGGACATTAAGGAGGGTATGTGTTGTAATGAGCACTGGGTGTTATATAAGACTGATGAATCACAGGGGCGCCTGGTGGCTCAGTCGGTTGAGCCGCTGCCTTCGGCTCGGGTCATGATCCCAGGGTCCTGGGATCGAGCCCCACATCGGGCTCCCTGCTCAGCGGGGAGACTCTGCTTCTCCCTCTGCCTCTGCCTGCCTCTCGGCCTACTGTTTTCTCTCTCTCTCTGTCAAATAAATAAATTAAATCTTTAAAAAAAAAAAAAAAGACTGATGAATCACAAACCTGTTCCTCTGAAACCAATAACACATTATATGTGAATTTAAAAAAAATAAACAAAAAAGGAAAAAAAAGAAAGTATTATATCTACCATCGCAAAATCAAAATTAATTCAACTAGGCAAATTAGGTGTCTAAAATTAAGGATATTTTGCAACATGACCCTTCTCAGCAAATATTGCTTGGAGCGTATATTATATTTACATTATTATGTGAGGGACTGAGTGATTCAAAGAGTAAAACATGGATTATGTCATCAAGAAGTTTAAAATCCAGTCTTTTAGGCAGCCAACTCCTGAGAAGTTGTGTAAGATTAAATAAGTTTATATGATACACAAATGGAGTTTTCTTTCCTAGTGTACCAATATTTTATGCCAGTTTGATCCTTTTAACTCTCAGGTCTGGTTTGCCTGGGGCAGTCCTAGCGTATGCCTGCTACCCAGGCGAAATTATTAGTGGAACCCATTCACTCCAAAAAGCGTTTCACTGTGGTCTCTAAATTATGCAGTCACCCTAGATACATACCAAATTTATCAAGGTGGCTCCCTTTGCAGGGGAGGGAGGAAAATGGGTGGGACCTTAGGGATTCAGGGGATTTTATTCCATTTGTTATGATTTTATTAAATGTTGGACAAATATAGGATTATTAACATTAAAACTCTAGCTCTACCCTGGGTATGACAGTATTTGTCATATTATTCAGCCATTCATACTTTTCTGTATGTTTGAAATACTTTATAATAAAAATAAAAGAAAGAAGAGCATGTACTGCCATTAAAAAATAGGAAAAAACTCAAATCTGGGCTTCACTTCTCATTTTAAAGGGACTTAATTACAGCTAACCCGTATCTTTCCCTTGTAGGGTTGGCTAGAGAACCAATTAGACATGTCTGACTATAGCTCCAGTTACCAAGATATAGCCTGTTACGGAACTTTACCCAGGGATTCGCCTCGAAGGAGTAAAGAAAGTAGTGGTGAGATTGTTTTTCTGTGTTCTTTCTTTATAATTTCTTAGGAAACGCATGGGGGGAAGTTCTTTTGTAGGTGGCATTTAATAAGATAGGAACCTGAAATTCTAATGTGCTGGATGATTCTAAACTGTATTCTTGAAGAGAATATGTCATGTCCACTTACTTGATTTCTTTTTGCTTTTGGATCTGGTATATCATCCAGATAATAATAATAGGCTTTTTGTGTAGCACTTCAGAATTTTCAAATCATTTTTCCCACACCATTTCCTGAATTTGAAGTCCCTTTTGAGACAAAAACAAATCTTACTATATTGTGGTTAGACTTCATTTTTTACCAAAAGAATATCTACCTGTGTAATGCTTTTTTGTACTCAAAAGAGTTTTTACGAGAATTTTTTGATTTCTAAAGCAGTTTCAAAAATGGTACCAGAAATGAGTTTGATCAGTGACAGCATTATTACCTAACTGTATAATCTCCCAGTGCCCTGAGACGAATAGTATTCTTTGAAAACGTGAATCAGTTCTATTACCTTACACCATATATTTTGCCTACTAAATGACATCGTACCAGTGAATTGGGAAGAAAATGCAGAAGGAGGGAAAGAGGCTCCACAAAAGTAAGAAATGAGTCAGAGCAGGAGAGCAGAATTGTTCTTCCTTAGACATATGGAGAAGGTGGCCTGAGGAAAAACAGGGCTTGCAAGAAAGTGCAGACAGTATCCATTCCTTGAATATTTATTGAGCCTCTACGTGCTATACGCAGTGAAAGATACGATAAGGTGCCATTCTAGGTCCTGAAATGGAACTATGGAATGAGAAACATAGAAAATAAGATATTGCAATGAAAATGTGCCCAAATGCATGGAAGGCTAATAGACTCCGGAATTTCAGAGCAACGGAAAATCAGCATGAGTTGAAATCGGTCTAGTAGGCAGCGCTTCAGGGGGATCTTGAAAAGAAGGTGGAAAATTCAGTTTCTGCTTTCTTCGATGCTGACTCTTTGGGACTTGGTAGCTACATCTCCACTCTTGCCCACACCGGTTTTAATCTTTAGCCAAATATTAGCCTGGTAATTTCTTTGTCGAACCAGATATTCCCGTGGCTAGGTGATGACTGTGCTTCCGGTGTGCCCGTCAATCCGTGCCTGTTTGTCTTCCCCAGGTTGTCCATCAGAGAACCCCCACGCCTTAACAGTCAGTCCTTTTAAAGCATTCTCTCCCCAGCCACCAAAGTTTTTCAAACCCTTAATGCCTGTAAAGGAGGAACATAAGAAAAGGATAGCCCTTGAAGCGAGGCCGCTCCTCAGCCAGGAGGTAAGTGCTGCACGTCTCTACCGTGGAAAGTAGAGCAGAATTGTGTTGCGTGGGGGGCAGGAGCCGTGCCTGTGGACGCGTGTGAGTCACACGGGGTCATGGCGGGGTTTCTTGCGTGGTGCTCTTGATGTTCCTTTCTGTGCGTTTACGGCTCTTCCAAGTGAGAAGGAGCCGTTCCCTGGGTGTTTGGAAAACATGACAGGCTTTATTTATTTATTGTTTACTTATTTTTACGTTGATAAAACCAAGGATGCGATTTGCCGTGGGGTGTGTGTAGTCTCGTCAGAGTCCATCAGTGGTTTAACCGCAGCCAGAGTGCACTCCTCACCCGGGAGTAGAAGTGTTCGCGTTGCTTTTCTAACTGGCACGTACTTACTGTGTATTTGGGCTGTCGGCGTCTTCTGTATGTGATGCATCTGTGTGTCTTAACCTTTGCAGAGCATGCCTTCACCTCAGGCACATAGCCCGGGCTGCACTGTGCCCTCCGGAAGCGAGGGCAGCAGCATACCAGTAGAGCACAGTAGCAAGCACGAGAAGGAGATTGTAAGTTCTGGAACTGTTTCTGTCGTCTTGCCTGGTGGTGGGTTAAGGCCCTTTCACAGACGGTCATCCAAATCCCGTAGGAGATGTGAAGAGAATGTACTGGGTCTTTTTGCTTTGCTTTTTTTTTTTTTTTTTTTTTAATGTGATCACCGGTAATGAAATCTTGCATGAATGTGGCCATGACCTGTGGTTTTTTTCTGAGTGTTCATTCGGTTTTATTTATCTTTTTGCTCAGTAGCAGCTTGCTTAGAAAAGGGGGAAAGGGCACTCTTTCGGGTTCTTGGTCTTTAAAAAGTGTAAATGAGATCACCGTCACTGATTGTGAATCTTTCTAATGTGCCGATGCATATTGCCCAGATTCTGAAGTTAATCTACCTAGAGGAGTTGCACTTACTTGGAGTGAGTAATCATGCACTTAGCCGTGGGTGTGTTTGAAAGCTCCTTCCGCGTTGCCTGATGCCCTTGTCCAGCTTATTCTGTAGCTTGTAGCCCCGCTACGAGCCCTTGGCTCCCCCACCGCCCGCTCGGCATCTCAGGTCGCCTGTTCTCATTTGCTGGCAAAATAGGTCCCAACCCCACTGGTGTCGGTCTTGCTTTGGGGATGACTTATCTGTACTTCATCCACAGGTAGGTGGAAACTTTGCCTGTAAAACAGTCATTCCCCAGCGCTTGGTTTTCAAATTATAGATTTGAATGTAGTTTTTAAGACGCTGTATACCAGGCACTTCAAATTATCAGTGATACCTCAGTTAAAAAAAAACATAAAAAACAAACAAACCGTATTCTCAGGTCTGGAAAGAGTTGTCTTATTTTGTGTCTCAGCTTTCACTTTCCTGTGGCTTCATGGGCTTTGAAACAGTGAAGCAGCTCCAAGCGAGACGGAGCTGCTTGATGTTCACGTCTGTGCGCGGTCTGATCTGTGGGCAGCGCACGGGACATTTCCTTTCCCGCCCGCAGCATGGCTGACCCCGTCCAAGGACTCATTGGTGTGAGGTCCTCTAACGGCTCTAAAACGTGCTGCTGATGCACACTGTGTGATCCTAACCGGAAGTTACCCTGGAGATGTGGTCGGCCACCCGTCTGAATGCGTGGAGTGCTAGCAGATCTTCAGAAATGACCTTCTCATTACTCCTGTCCACTGAGGACAGAAGAGAAGACACCATTTCCCCCGCACCTCTGTCCCTCTCCCCACCGTTGCCTCTGTGTTCTCCTGGCCCCTCTATCCCAAGTCCCCATCGCAGTTCCTACTGCAGAAGAGGGTGAACGTCAACAGCTGCCCATGTATCTCTGGATCCTAATGAACTGCTCAGTCACTTACTTGACCTCCCCCCACTTAGTTAATAAAGCTGCGGCATGGGCTAAAAAAGGCCAACTGGCCAGTTCGTTATCCCTTCAAACTCTCTGGCTCTCTGGCTTATTGGATCTGTCTGTTGGTTGACGTGGAACTTGCCACCATGTTGCATGGCTACTAAATTTAAACCTCTGTTACTGATACATTTTGGTAGAACATCCCATTGAGAGACTGCTGGATGACCCTTCTGGATCTGCCCAGCAGATGGCTTCACTGTTGACAGAGTTTGCCTCATCGTTTACTTTCCTTGTAATGTTTTTAGATAAAACCCATCTCAGGACTTTCAGCTAGCAGAGGGTAGGATAGAACCAGCTTCTCATAACTTAGCAACTCCTAAGCAGCAGTTAGGCTCTGTGTGATCAAACACACCTTGAAGTCTGCTGAGCAGGGTTTGATGGTATCATCTTCCTTGCTGGAATCTTGAGAGATCTGCCTCTACTCTCCTTAGAAATCCAGCTCAAAACAACAACAACAACAAAATTAAAAAAAAAAAAAAATGAGAAAGAAGGGTGCTTGGCTGGCTCAGTCAGAAGAACATGTGACTCTTGATCTCTGGGTCGTTGAGTTCCAGCCCCAAGTTGGGTATAGAAATTGCTTAAATAAATAAAACCTAAAAAAAATTTTTTTTTAAATAAGAGAAAGATACCTGTCTCAATACCCTTCATCTTTGAAACTATTGAACTGTTTGATTTATTTCAGATAGCAGCTTTTCCAGGATGTTTTGGTAGATTTTAACAGTCTTAATTGCTTGCTCTGAGTTTCTGGTTCTCTTCGGGAAGCTTTCATTTTATTTCTCCTCTTACAAATGGGCATAAACTGCTTTATTACGTTGTTCCCCATTCACTCTCCTTCCTTTTCCATTCTTGAAAAATCAAAGTGTGAATCAGTGGTTTGGTCTGATCAAAGGAGGTTGAAATCATTTTTCACAGTTTCACATAAAATAGAGTATTATATAGCTCCCTTAATTCTTAAAGCAGGGTTTGTTGTCTCATCAATTTGGGAAGATACACAAATGTACTTCATCTCTTGTTTGAATAAGATAAAGACAATATGCCTTTGGAGTCCATCTTTTTTTTAAGTCATGAAGCAGAAGAGTGTAAAGGAAATCACTTCTCCCTTGGGTCTTGCATAGACAGCATATGGTTTATTTCTCCATTTTACAGAAGAAACAAAGGACTTGATGAGTGGCTTGCCTCAGGGTCTCACAGTTAACGAGAGCATAAGAACAAAGACCCCATCCCTCAGCAGAATTGGGCTGACCCCACTGACTCCAGGTGCTCCCCAAAATAGTGCAGTTTCAATTGCCCTGGTACTGTTGTTTCTAGAAAGGGCTGCCAGCATCTTAGTACCATGGACAGAAGTTCTGGGGCCCTAGGCTAATACAGTCCTTCCAAAAAGAGACCGTCTTCCTAAGGGACAACACAGACTCCATCCCAGTAGAAGTGAAAATGACTTTAATTAAGTGAAACTCCTTGCAGGGAGTCACTGCTTTCATGGGGGTTTTGATCCCTTTTTAAAATCAAGCTGTTTTGTCTGTAGGTAAATACCAGTTGCATAAACTTAATTGCAAAAAACAAATCATGAAGACTGTAGCTATAGAAGGGCTTGAGAACTTGACTCCATGCTTCACTTTTAGGTAGGGTTTTAATTCTTTGTATCATTAAGACATAGTAGAAGGTGCTAAGCTTAGTCTCCTTTCAGATACAATGATAAATATTTCTGGAGTAGAAGGTCTATCTAACCAGATTCCCTTAAGGTACAGTTTGAACCAATTAAGTGCTCTCTTTTTCCCCTTGAAGGCAATAACTTGATAAATCTTCAGTCTGTTTACCTGTTGGGAAACGTTTCATCTCTACTAAGTTTTCTTTTTTTCTGGAATTACTTGTCCCTACTCCGCTAGCCTCTCTCTTTGGGTCATTCCCCTTCTCCCATTCCCATCCCAAGTGTACAACTGTGTACTGATCCCTATTGGAACTTAATCTCTTGGGGGTTTTGTAGACTGTTCAGTTTTTCCTAAGCTCATTCTCATCCTTTAGGAATAATTTTTTATCTTCATGTGTTTGACAAATGTGCATGCACCTGTTTCTACACAATAAATTCATGATTGAATATTTCATTCAGCAAAGCTGTATTTTAGGATGACAGGCCTTTCCTCAGTCTTCAGAAGAAATAGCTCCAGGCATAAAAGGAGCCCCAAATTACTAATTCTCACATTCTGATTTGGTTTTTCTTGCAGCAACTAACTTTTCAGTAATTAATTGCATCAAAGACTCCTGGGCTTGGGGAATTATATATCTTTGCCAGCTTAAATCAGAAGGAAATATGGGGGCGGGGCGCACCTGGCTGGCTCAGTCGGGAGAGTATGCAACTCTGACTCTTGATCTCAGGTAGTGAGTTCGAGCCCCACGTTGGGCATGGAGCCTACTTAAAAAGAAAAAAAAAAGGAAATATAAAGATGCAAACACTAGAAGTTCAATTTTCAGTCTAAACACGTCAAGTAGAGAATGTAGAAAATACAGGCAAAAGCTACTGATTCAATTCTGTCCAATCTTTGCTCCTTTCCAAACATTCTCCCCACCCCCTCTTTTGACAGTGCTACCTAATGTGAAATGTAGCTAAAAATAAGATGGCAAGATTAGTGTTGCCAAAATTTTGTTTTGCTAATTTCTGGAATTTTTTATCACTGATATTTGATAGTCACCTTTGATTAATAGCCATGGAATTAAGACACCTGATGCTTTTATGTAATGTATATTCAAGTTATTTTAAAAACTAAGGAGCACTGAAGAGCATTAAGGTATTGATTTAGGTAGTTAGCATCTTACGCAAAAGAAATTATTACTATAGGGACACCTATAATATATTTATAATATTATAAATAATAAATTATTACTATAAAATGCAGCAGATGAAATTGATGTTCATTTGTGAACTGCCATCTGACATATCCTTCGCTCATGCTCTTCTTCCTCTTTCCCATCCTCTCTCTGTCCTCGACCTCTTGAAATGATCCTTTAATGAGTAAGGTTAATGTTTTGGTTGCAGGTCTTCACAGTCTCCCTGTTATTATACCGAATGAAATTTCCATCCACCAGGGCGCCTAGGTGGCTCATTCGTTAAGCGTCTGCCTTCAGCTCAGGTCATGATCCCAGGGTTCTGGGATCAAGCCCTGCGTTGGGCTCCCTGCTCAGCAGGAAGCCTACTTCTCCCTCTCCCACTCCCCCTGCTTGTGTTCCCTCTCTTGCTGTGTCTCTCACTGTCAAATAAATAAATAAAATCTTTGGGAAAAAAAAAGAAAGAAATTTCCATCCACCGAATCAGGGTCCAGGATTGTTCTAAGAGCAAGGACCCAAAGCCGTAACACCATGAGGGGAGGGACCGTGCCTGTTTTTGCTCAACACTGGTATTCCCAGTTCTTAGGACAATGGCTGGCATATAGTGGATGCCTGATGAATACTCATTGAAAGTCATGTTGTAAGAGGAAAGGAATATTTGCAATGTCATCAGATGTTTATGAGGGTAATTAAAATGCTAGATAGTAATATCATTTTTTTTTCTTTTTAAGTAAGCTCTACATCCACTGTGGGGCTCGAACTCACAACCCCAAGATCAAAGGCCACATGCTCTACTGACTGAGCCAGCCAGGCGTCATTTATCATTTATTTTTATTTGAACATAAAACATCCACATGCTTTATACTGTTTTCTACCAAATACAGAAGAATCATCCATTCAGGGACAGACTGGGGTGTTAAGAATACCCACTTCTGCATATTTACTAGTCTTTACAAACAGAATTCTAAAGCTCTTTGATAAAGGAGATTTTCAGTGATGTCTCAGTACCTTCCTCACCTCTGGCCAAATCCTCTAACGGTGCTTCTCCAAACCCCTAGAAAGTGTTAACTGTAACACTGTTAGTATTTTACAGCCCTATGATGTTTAATACAACACTGGGAACGGGTGTTGAAATTGTGTTCTTTGCTCTTTTCACTGTTGAGGTCTTGATTTTACTGCCCTCTCCCCTGATAAAATAGCTCAGAAACCTTCTACAAAGTACCTTCCTCACCTGCACTTGGCTTCCCAAAGTGAGGATTGTAAGGAGTGAAGCAACAGCTTTTCTCTGCCTCCAGCTGCCCCTCTCCTCATTTTATTCCAAAAGGGCAAACATCACAACTGAACACTAATCATTAATTAAAATTAATTAAAAGTCTACTGCACTTAAACCAGTGAAGGAAGCATTTCCAATTAGCACTGAGTGAGCACAAAAGAAATAAATCTCCTCCATATTAGGTGATAATGGGTTTATGCTCACAGATCTCTGAGAATAATGTACTTGTATGCACCATAGTTGACAAGATTTAACCAAACTCAGAAAGAAAGAAAGAAAAAAAAAAAAACAACACTAAACATGTGAATGTGAATGCCTTTAATATGAATATATTTGAAACCTGTCTCGACAATAAAGTCGCTGAAAGGAGCTAATGAGTGACTTTTCCCTTCATTACTACAGGACTCTGAGGAGGAGGAAAATGATCTGGAAGCTCTTAACAGGAAGCTGATAAGTTCGCAGCCTTACGTACCTGTGGAGTTTGCGGACTTCAGTGTTTACAACGCCAGCTTGGAGAACAGGGAGTGGTTTTCTCCTAAAGTCGATCTGATGAACTCAAGGGTCTTGGAGAAAGAAGTGTCCCGTAGCCCCACGACCAGCAGTATTACCAGCGGCTACTTTTCCCACAGTGCCTCCGATGCCACACTGTCTGACATGGCGGTCCCTTCCAGCGACAGCTCGGACCAGCTAGCCATGCAGGCAAAGGATGCGGACTCCAGTGAGCATCACGGACCGTCGCTTGCGCACGATTTCAGACCGTCCTCAAACAAAGAGTTGACAGAACTAGAAAGAGGCCTGGGGAAAGAGAAGATAATTTTGGTGCCCCTCAAGGAGAACAGTGCCTTAGCCAAAGGGAGCCCATCGCCCCAAAGCATCCCTGAGAAAAACCCCCAAATCCTCTGTAGGACTGGCTCCTGTTCCGAACAAGATGCCTGCTCCAGCAGAAATGGCCAGCCAGCCAGAGAATTTTACCCCGGGGAAGTGACCGTAGAACACACCACAAATATCCTTGAGGACCATTCTTTCACAGAGTTTATGGGTGTATCCGATGGGAAAGATTTTGACGGTTTGACAGACTCTTCTGCTGGAGAGCTTTCAAGTAGAAGAAACCTACCCAGGAAAATGGACCAGAAGAGTATCGCCGACGGGCCGCAGGGCCCTGCCCAGCTGCATTCCTCGGCGGAGAGTGACCAGGTAATAAATTCCCGAGGCTGTCCTTTGTGTTCTGTCCTGTTGGTGAGCCTGCCTGGTTGTGCACCAACCCCCAGAGGCGCTTCACCTCGTGACTTAGTAGGAGAGATTCCCTCAGATGCCGCCGACCGGGTGCATGGGCCCCCCGGGGAGCAGGCTCGCTCACACCGCTGCCCGGCTGGCTCCGTCAGAGTGGAACTACAGAATATATAGGACCGGTGGTGCTTCTTACTGGCTATCCCAAGGCGTCCAGACAGCATCCATCATGTTTTATCAAGTCTGTAATTTCCATAATTATTAGAGAAACCATTGGTTTAGGTGTCATAACAAAAAAATACTTCCAGTTAAACTGCCTCACATCAGTAATTGTCAGATGCATCCCGATTTCAGACACGTTTAAAAGGGTGGGGGGAGGGAGGAACGCATCACGGAAGGGATTAAAAAAACAAGTCAAGGGGCGCCTGGGTGGCTCAGTTGGTTAAGCGACTGCCTTCGGCTCAGGTCATGATCCTGGAGTCCCGGGATCGAGTCCCGCATCGGGCTC